TATATATATATATAAAGATGTATATATCAAGAGATTGGTCAATCATTTTCATATAATTATATCATAATTATGTGTCCTTATATAATAGATCAAATTTGAATTTGACGTTTTTTTAAAAATTGTTATACGTAAATTTTTAATCTCAGCATTTTAATTGAGCAGTGTCGATAGTTACTCCATTTTTTGGAGTTTTACGCTGAGTAAAATTTACTTTAAAATACGTGGGAAAAAGATCTCGAGTTTGTTGTATTGTGTTTCATTGAGAATGCTAGATTTGTCAAATGTAAAAAATTAGCATGTGGATCATTACATATATATAGATTAATATATATCACCATATTACAAAATAAATTAATATTAAAGATTCGAGAATAATTCGGAGTATGTATATTTGTTAAAAAATTTTTGTTTAAAATTTCGTGCAATGAATTAATAAAATTTTTGTTTTACAATTAAAATGAACATGATGAAATATATATAGTTATTCGTTAAAAAAAGCAAATGCAGTATTATTGATTAAAAGATAGATATAATACGTTAACAATGATTATATTTTATGGAAATGTAAGAAATAAGAGTTTATCGGAGTAAGCCATATTGACGAAAAACAAACTTCTAAATTATATAATTACAAGAAATTGACATCGTTTTTTGTCATTTTTTAGATTTCTGTTTTATTGTTATTATTGATAATAACAAACCTTGCATTCTCTACAAATTTTCTGTGTGCTTATTTTGCATTATCGCTCATAATATTGATTAGGCAGTGAGCGAATTATAAAAATCTAGCTAATGACAAATCACGCATTTACCTAAGGTGTGCTTAGGCTGTGAATGTAATGGACTATTAGAGGAGTTTATTTGTACATAAATAAAGATTTACTCTATTAGAATGGAATGGATTAATGTAATGTAAGACAACGCACTTTATGATTTCCATGTGAAATTATCAGTATACAGGATTTATTAATATATGCAAACAAAATTAACAATTGTAAACGCAGTGTACAGCATAATGTTAGTATTATAAAAGAGCTGCGATCTGCTCGTTCGCAATTTCTTTGGGTGTCATACCGTCGTTATCCGCTATATTTGACTGAGCTCCGATTGAAAGCAAATACTTCACCGCATCTACGTGATCGCAACTTACCACGTAGTGAAGGGCCGTTTGCCCGTACTGATCCCGCGAGTTTACATTCGCGCCATTCTTAATCAAGTAATCCAAGATTCCGAGATAGCCGCGATCCGCAGCCCAATGTATGGGATGCATCCCTTCCTCGTCTGGCTTGTTGACGAGCGCGGGTTCGCCATTTAAAAACTCTTGCACCTTTGCCTCATTGCCCTCCTTGATCCAATCTAAGAATGTTTTATCTTCGTCATTCAATTCCGCGCTTCCATACGACAACTTGCTAAAAACAATCCATTTTTGAGACCCGGCTTTTGTCTCTTCCTCATCCCACGTCGGATTTATTTTCTCGAGTCCATGGATGTAATTTGTCATCGCGGTCTCGCGGCTCATATCTCCAAGATTCTTCCATGCTTCCCATTTGTGCTTGGCTTGCATCTGATACCAATTGGGCCGCGGGATGTCGCACGGTCCTACAGTAGCTTGTTTGTACAAACCATAAAATGCAAGCAGCTGACCTGAATCTAACTCTGACACCAACGTTTGCAGATATTTGCTAGCTCTGTTAAATGTCTCCTCTAGATCAGTCAAGGGCTCGCTTTCTAAGTCGCTCTCAGCCATCGTTATCGAATTCGCGCGATATATTTCCAATTAAAAGTATAAAGTAACTAACTCTAATCAATTACTTTTTTCTTGTATACGACTAAATCTTTCCCTTCTAAAGAATGCTTACGTTCGAGCGCGGCATTCATGCATTCCTTCTTTAAGAATATTACGTTTCCATAACCCAGATGCAAACCAGTTAGCTTATCGAATGCTATAAAAGTATTTGTCACACAACCGAACTGGGAGAAATATAGCCAGAGCTCGTGACGACTTACTGTCCAAGGAATGTTGGCAATATTAATTATGTATTTCCCGACGATCATGGTAAGAAAAAGAGATTGATTTGCTTATACCGCTCGTTGTATATCTAACAAATGTATTGTATGATCTTGCATCAATTCGTGTAAATTAATATCAGGATTTGTACCGAGATTGTCCAGTGCTATGTGCATACACGTCAATCCCCACTTATTCAGCAGATGTTCTATAGACCAATCGGCACTGCGTTCCTGATAAGTGCAAAGAAATTTCGCACAAGGATTTTGCTCCAACAAAAATGCCACAATGACCACTATATCCTCGAACACGGTAGGTTCGTAGAAACAGTCCGAACCGATGATTAAATCTAAGTGTCCAAGCGAGAACAAGTTGGACAAGAATAAGCCCCAGGTGATGCCGACGATTTGAACTTGATCCGCGACCCCGTTTAACTCACAACACCTCTTGATGTGCTGCAGAGTTCTTGGTTGACTCGCCGAATCGCTCAAAGTCACAATCGCGCCACACTTGCTGGCGAGAATACCAGGGAGCGAAGTACCGGCTCCTATCTCCAGAACCCGCTTGTCAATCAAGTTTTCCCTGTGCTCCCAGAGATACCAGGCAAGTACAGGTGCGCAGGGCCAAGTATTGAAACTGTAATTAGCCTGCAGCAACTGGAATCAGTAAGACTCTATTGTGAAGGATGCTATACAAAGGAAGTACTTCAAGAATGTACTTTAAGAATTTTTGATATAAAAAAGATTAAGCTGTGGTTTCATAAAATTAATGCAGAACGATATTATGTTTTCTTCATTAATGGAATTAGAATGAATCATTTTAATTTAGATATCTCACTTATGAAAAAGAATTATGTCGAGCATTGTGATTGCAGATATGAAATCTTGAACATGTCATTAGGCAACATAGGAAATGTGATGATGAAAAAATAGTGTTAAATCAAGAACTGAGAATGAGAGATGTCTTAAATTAATGTGTATTAGTTTATTAAGACTAAGATTGATTTACATTAAGAATTATTTTTAATTTTATCAGAAAGATTAAAATTATTTCCTAGTTTAGGTCAGTGTATAACTATTCTATTCAAACAAAGTGAGACAGAAGATATCTACTTCTCATTCAAAGATCACTAACAAAAAAAATAGTAATCACTAATGTTATTAATCAATCTATTGATATATGAACCAGAATATTCACTGAAAACACCTAGACTTTATTCTAGAGATTTATTATTCTAGAGATTGAAACTGCTGAAATCTATCTGCTATCTAAAGCCTAAGTTATATAATAGTCATTTTGAAAAACTCTGAGATCTTATAACAGCATAAAAATAACAATTTCTAAGGAAATACAAAATTTTATATATATATACAAGTAATAATAAATTGCCCTCACATATTAATGTGTGGTTTAATAATCGCCAGTGTGTTGGAATAGTAATGTTGACGCTCATTATGAATTCGTGAAAAATTCACGAAAAAATTTGCAGATTGACAATTTTGAAAAAGAAAAAAAATGAATTGAACGGAATAAAAAGGTGAACGAGAAAATTTCGCGAAAATTCTCCGGAAATAATTGTAGATCAACGAAATGATTTTTCGCGGAGCGATCTAACCAAGAAGCATGTAACACCGGTAGCTCGCGCGTGCCGGAAATACTGCGGGCGTGCGAGGAACTCGCGCGCGAAGTTGTTCCCTTACCTCAGGTATGAGGATCTCCAGGCTCTCCTCGTGCTCGTCGTCTTGTGCGCAGCCCTGCACCTTTCGTGATCTGAATACGAACCTTTTCACCACTTGCTCGGGCACCGCATGATCCCCATCGGACATTAGGGCGCGCGTGGGAGGTGGACTCGTATCGTGCGAAATACTTCCCCCTAAACCGGGCATCACTGACGCGCCTCTCGGCACGCACTAATCATTCGCATCGTGACTGCGTTAATTTACGCGCCCGTTCGAATTGTCGGTATCCAGCGCGTCGCATTGAAAGGACGGGGATATAGATGGATATGGAGTATACGGACGTAGTTTTGTTGAGAGTAGTCGATGGTGGAATCGTTGGACTTCCCGCTCGATATGGCCGCACTTCTTGCCCTCATTCTTTCTTTCTTTCTCTCTCTCTCTCTCTCTCTCTCTCTCTCTCTCTCTCTCTTCCTCATATAGCAAATGAAATATTTATAAAATTGCACGATTTGAAATATTTCAGAAATTTTTAAAATATTTCTGTGAAACATAATTATATTCAAGAAATCAGAGCTTTAATTTGAAATTTTTTTTTTTTCTTATAACATTTGTATAATGGTTCTAAAATATTTTTGTGAAATGTTTTAATGTAATATTTTTTAATGTTTTAAAAATGTTTTAATGTAATATTTTTTAATGTTATAAATGTTTGCGAAATATTTCAATTTCTCAAATATTTCAAAAGATGATTCACATTAATATTTCATGCTATATGGATCCCGCATTAAAGACTTGTGAATTAAAAATAGCATGAGTCTTTAGCATCTCTTGTATATCACTTAAATTAAAACGCATCTAACTATCTATCAAGTATAATTAAAAGAGTTTTTACTGTTTTGCTTTAGTACATTTTATTTAGTACATATATTTAATTATATCATGCATATATTACATATAATTGTATATATTACATATATTACATATAATTTCTTATTTAAATGTAACAACTACATTTTTAATTTGTATGTGCGTTTAGAGCATATAAATTTTTCTGCTTTCTAGCAATGAACACAGGCAACACATGTACGATTATGTACTTTCCAATTGTGATACAAACAAATCGATACGAGCATACGCTATTAAAATATTGTGTTCGACTATTTTATTATCATTTCACGAATATCAAATTTTTACATTTTATTATCACTTATTTTTCTAAAAGTGATACTCTAATAAGAGGTTTTAAGATTATACTCGGATATATTCGGATATAAATGTACGAAACCTTTTTATTTCACTGTGATGGTGAAATAAAAAAGCTAAGCAACATTCAATATTGTGCACAGAGTATGTGTATGACTGTACATAGTGCGACACAGTAACACTGTGTTTTATTTATTGCTAGAAAGCACCAAACTTACACACCAACACTTTATAGTCATAACTACAAAGTGTCTGAAGAAATTTACACAACATTTATACAGCTTTCGTATTTATATAGTAACTTATTCGCGACATCCGTAGCTTCTTTAAGATTTATTAATATCTCAACAATAGTTAGTCCGAAATCAAAAGCCGTTCCTGGTCCTCGGCTAGTTATGAGATTGCCTGTAAAATTATTATCAATATCAATAGGAATAAAATACAGAAATCAAATTCTTAAAGATTGTTAATTGGAAATTATTAATATCATAATAAATGTATGGTAAATCAATTATTACCATCAATTACAACGTTCTTATCATCCTGATAGTCATAGTAATCGCACAGATCTCTTTTCATACTTGGGTAAGAGGTGATTCGTTTTCCTTTGCCAATATTATGCATTTTTAAAGCTGTAGGAGCTGCACAGATAGCTGCTATTAATTTGTTCTCCTTGTCCTGCTTTTGTAACAATCTCCCAACTTCCTCCGACTAACAAGACAAATTTTATTAGCTACACTTTACATCATAACAAAATCAGACACTGTCAAACTTACAGATGTAAATGTCTTAGCTCCACCGAGACCACCAGGCAAAACAACAACATCGTAACTCTTCTCCTGAGCATCCCTAAATGGAACATCTGTGCAGATCTTGACGTCGCGGCTGCATTTCACGTATTTGCTGTCCTGTACACCAGCTGCAATAACTGTGATCTATCCAAACATATTTCAATATAGAACATCTTAATTTTTTTTCATTTAGAATATCTTAATTTTTTCGCTTGTCTTTGGCCAAATTTTAATATTGTTGATATTGAGTTTCAATAATGAGCAAGTTATTACTGTTTATCTTATTTCAATATAGCTATTCGAATATGTTAATTCGTTTAATTAGCAAATCTTTTGTTCTTAAATAGTTGTAAATTGATATATAATTGAAAACAATCATCAAGAAACTCTTATTTTTATCAACAAATACAAGCAATATTTAAAATATTTAAAAACAATCGTCAACAAAACACACAATTTCTTATTAAAAATTGATTAAAAATTACATAAATAAAAATATATAATATATATCTCATTCATTTTCTACAACACATGACATTATTCGAAAATTATTTTATAGTTGCTTCCAAAAAAATGGAAATATAAAGAAAAAAAGAAAAAAAATTCCTTAAGAATTAATAGTTATTATACTAGAATTATATTTCAAAATTAATATTACAAAATTTTAATGATTCAAAATATTTAAAAATTTAAATTCATTTTTTGGAAAAAAAATTAGTTTTTCTAAAATGTATTATAGCAAATGAGCAATGTATGTGTACATATATGTATATATATGTATACATATATGTGTATGTATATTGGATATGTCCAATTTGATAACACAAATCAGCAAAAGTGTCGTTTTATTTTCTGTTAATCACTAAAGTGCTAAAAAAGATAAAATGTTTCGATTTGCATTACTAAATAAAAAGCATTCATTGTGTATAATACATCTTGTAATTTAATTCTTGCGAAGAATCTAGAGAGTATTATAAGACAGAGGATAATTGATCATTTTGGAGCGTCATATAAAAAAAATACCGACAACGTCAGACGATGAAATGTAATCCCTTCAGAATAATAAAAAAATAAGGAGAAATAATGCATATATGTTGTTTATTTTCTGCCAAAGAATCAATTATCCTAAGTGACGTACTCCGGCGCGCCGTAAAACGTCGATAGTTATCACAGCCTCCATTTCCTCCGTTCCATCAGCGAGCAACACCAATGCAGTTTTCACTTCGTTCTTTACATTTGCCATTACGTATATACGTATTCTACGGAATAACGTCAAACTTCTATTTTATTCGAGTAAAGATGATGAATTCGAGAGAAAGAGAAGTCGAGAAAAGTTGTATTCGGGGAAGTCTGTTCAAATTGTGATTCAACGTCACAACAACCACACGTTGATCTGACCAATTACGTTTCATGATGTAAACAAATTTGAGGATGAACCATGATTGAGCAATGAGCGCGTTAAGATACATTTTCAACTCAAATCAATAACCGTTTCAGCGACAAAAAGAATTACGTGGCCAAAATTGATGAATATCAAACGTTCAATTTTGATCAAGTGATATTTTTTGTCATTAATGGCAGGTGAAAGCATTGAGCAGCTCATGAAAATGTATCTTTATACAAACAAACTTAAATTAAGCTAAACTTAAATTATTCTGATTGGTCGATCTTCATTATATTACTTCTCCGAGATTTCAATTTCGTTCGATTTGAACAATTTAGACGCTCAAAAGAAACGTAAATACAAATATAGTGTTCGTTTTAACATTCATAACGTTCATAATGCTTTAAGCATCGTTTCATCCTTGTTTAATAAATATTAAACAAGGACAATTGATCACAAGCATTGTGAATGACAAAACGAATGCAGCCACTAGACGCGCTGAAAATTCAAATTAAACACCTTGGTTTTTCGAAATTCCGATTGTCATGTGGACTCACCCTAAACGCTTAATCGCGTGAGCGAACGTAGCTGCAACAATTTCCAATTTGACTCCTATACCGCGCATTTCATTGGTCGACACATTAGTCAACGCAGCAATAATCTCGACACAAAATTCATCCGGAAAATCTTACATAAGATAAGACCTTAAATAAAAACCAAAGATATCTCAAACGAGCTTTATAAATGATCGAATGGATGAGAAACGAGATAATAATAAGCAAAGCAAGGACAATATGCTTTTCAAGGTCGTCGAAATTTAAATTTCAAAGTCGCGGGCGAAATCGGCACTGGTTTTCGAGTACGGCCAGTCGCGTCGCTACCGTGCGCCGCACTATGGCCGTCGCGTTCGGGTGTTGTGGATACTGAACTTGGGCAGGAGGTACGTAAAGAATCGCGGCAGCCGTTGCCGTCATTATCATTGTCATCGCCTCCATCAAGTGGGGCCTTTCCTCACGTGGAGTTGCACCAGCCCTCCGCACTCGTCCAACCGCGCTCGCGCGCGCGTTGGCCGCCCTGCATCGTCACACGGAGCGCGTAAGGTGCGAGGCGCGATCGTCCTCGGAGGAACGATGACGCGTGCACATCGCTGAGGGAGGCTGCCGCCGGAGCGCGGAGACGAGTGAGCAGGGGTGAGTTCGTGGAGTCAGTTCGGAGGATTCCCCGCGAGGCCACCTGGGGCCACCTGGGGCCACCGCACCGTGTGTATACGTGTGGACGCGACGCGACAATCGCGTCGAGTCGATCCGATCTCGATCGCGCGTGACAATAATCACGAGCGTGCGCGCGCGCGCGCGCGTTCGCTCGTTTACGCGACGCATTTGCGAAGAATTTTTCACACCTCCGCCGCGAGAAATTCGAAATCCGCGATCGAGAATCACGACTTTGACCGTCGCGATCGTCCTCCTCGTCGAAGGCATTCGAGCTTGCGCGCTTGTTAATTAGCCTGTTTGCCGCTTTCACCGTGACTCAAGACCACGAAGGAAAGAGAAAGAGAGAGTGTGTGCGCGTGTGTGAGAGAGAAAGAGAGAGAGAGAGAGAGAGAGAGAGAGAAACATAATGTGAGACGTGTAGGTAGTAAAATTCTTTGAATTATATATTATATAATTCAATATGTATAAAATAATTTTGTGTAATGTACATATAATTGAATTATATATTATATAACAGATTATACAGACTGATCTTCTATTTTTGTAAATTACTTTATATTAGTGATCTAGAAATATATCTATCGCGATTTATTTCTTATTATTTATTTCAGTTTGTAGACCTTAAGAGGAATCGGTTGGGGTAGATATCTTGCATTTGTGCTTTGCATCAGGAAATTTTTATTTCGAGCATATCTGTAACTTAACTAATGTAACTTATATTGGAATTTTATTAATACCTGACTCGAGGATATTCATCAATACGTACAATAGATTCCTTGATATTGAACAGTTTTGAAACAACAACCGCTTTCCTATGTTTTCATTTGATACCAGCAAATCAGTAGTATGCAAATACGCTAGGTTTACACTAAGGCTGTAAAAAATTATCAAGAGTTCCATTACATTATCTCTGTAAATAAGGCGCCAATGCATACATGTAGTTTTCTTATCTTTTACAAAGATACCCAGGCGAGCATGTTAGCAGTATATGTTTTTGCCATATCGTCTTTCAATCATATTGATGGCATAACTATACGGTTCAGGGGGTGGATGATAGGAATTTACTGAAAATCCAAGATCAAAGCCATTCAAAACGCTGGAGAAAGACGGAGGAGCTTCGGAGGAGGGGGAGATGTCTGCTGGCACCCAGGGCGAGATTCGGGTTGGCCCTTCTCATCAGGTTTGCCATATATATCTTGAAAAACTTTCTTGCTAATTAATTGTTTTGCACAATGTGCCTATCTCGAGGCTTGCTATTAGTATAAACATTTGTTGTAAGGTAAAGGGCATGTGTGGATACAATCTCGAATCATCATTCTCCCTACATTAATCGAACATTGTTATGAAATCATTTTATATGTATAATTATTACAATTTTATGAGTGCTTTCCATTTTGTAATTCAAGTCGACACAAACGTTCTATTTTCTTTTGTATTCCAGTAAGTAACAAAGAACGACACTTCTGATGATTTATGTCACCGAATGAAAAGCAATCTATGTATGGACTAAAAGCCTTTTGTGTCTTATTACAAAGGAGAGACAAAGTCTTGCATAACGCATAATGCATAAGAAAACAAACCGTTACCAAACTTATACCTGTTTCCATCAATGTAGATTAACTTTAATCTTGGCTCAACTTAGTCTTCATTTTTTTCTAATCTTTAGAAAAAGATAAAGAGCAAGTAGAACCGAGATTAAAGATAAGGTTTGTTCTTTTTCGAAGAATTCCGAAGTAGTTCTCAACTAGTATAATAAATTAGAGTGAAAAACTATACTGTCTCACTCTAACTTATTACATCAGTGTACATCAGTTCAGAACTTGGGGTGGAAAAAAAATAAATCTTTAATCTATATCTACGGAAATGAGCATGAAAGTCCTTCATTTCTTTCTTTTTTATGAAATGAAAGACTTTGATCGGTTGATCTTTTCATGTTATGTATCGTAACACATGCTAATCTGCATAATCCATGCTGGATTAAGTGATGTTGGAATCATTAGCTGTCTTGAAAATAATATACAATTATGAGAAAAGTCATTTGTGCACCTACATTAGAGAGATAATTGCGTTTCTTATTGCATCAAGTAAAATGTAATTCTCCAGTTTTAAAGTGACAGGTTGTTTCTTGAACAAAGAAAGTGAAAGATTGTGAGGATCTTCACACGCTCTTTACATCAATGAATCAAATAAATATAAACAAATGTAAAAAGAATGCTCGTTCGCGCGTATACGTGGCATACATGTGTATATGCGTATACACATGTTTAAGCAGATACGCACGCGCGTACGGATGATTCGAAAAGTAATGCAGAAAAATGTACTCTACACACACACACACACACACACACGCGCGCGCGCGTATGTAATCTAATCTGAAAAATATGAAGTACGCGGATCAGTCTTAAAGTTTCTCAACAATAAGACCGATAAAGTATGTACCCGGGATCGGCATATACTCCATGCAGAAAACTTCCATTTCTTTCGCATCGCACGCTATCTCCGAATATTTTCTGCGACAGTAAATGTCACGTGTTTAATGTAAATCCGAGGATATTCTTGTGAGGGGACACTTTATGGTAATCGGGGAACGTTTAAGCCGCGAAAGACATATCGACACGTTTAAGTGGCAGTTTTATGTAAAACTTTTTAAAAATTATTACCAAGATAAGATCGGACTCTCACGCATTCCGGTTCCCATCCGATGGTTCAACTAACGCATCACGCATTAAAGAGCTTCGAATGTTTCAGGTGTAGACCTCGTCTCGTCTGCAATACATGAAATGTATTCGTTAAGCTCTCCTGCGATACTTGTTGTATCACACGAACGATCGCCATACTCGGCGAATAAGCCGGCGGAAAATCTTTCTTTGCAAGCAACACAACGCGCGGTGCGTGAAATACATACTTGGGAGCCGATGCATAAAGATGGTTTAATTGCAATTTATTTGAGCATGAGATGACACTTTCTTAATTTGGAGTGGTTTTCAGTCACGGTGAAATAATTGATCGAAGCGGATCAACTCGCGCCTTCGCACTATTTATATACCCGTTGGCATACAACAATTATTCGCGATTGCTTACTTGAACCATCTGTGAGCACGAGCGTTTGTACGAACTGTCCCGAGCCCTAGCGAAATCACCTTTCACTTCGAATGCTTCTTAATGTGCAGAATATCCCAGATATGAGAGATATACTTGAAGCGATATCAAATTAAAATCATCATCAAACGTGCGAAGATGTGAAGCTTTTTTTATTTTCATTTGTTACTTGATGTTTTGCATCTGTGATTAATAAGCAGCTACATTTATCTTTTTTCTTCCTCTTTTTATGTACGTTTTGCAAACTTATCATTATATTCGTCGCGAATCATGACTTTGTAAAACGGTACATTACGCAACTTATATACTTCTTGCATTAAATGCAGATTGTAACTTCTATTTTTAACACATAATCATCAGGGACAGTTTAGCTGATTATCGCGTTAATGAAGTGTTTGCTTGCGAATATCTGTCTCGTGTGCATTTTTAGAAACAAAAAAAAGGGAGATTATAAATTAAGACATAGTTTTTTATTCTCTTATAAGATATTGAAAGAGGAAGTTGACTGAGAAAAAATGTATAGCTTCGTTATTGGTACCTTTCGTATGTAAAGAATAAAAAAAAAAAGAAGAATTGGGACGTAGAGAGCGATTAGTTAGCCCGTGTTGAAAAAACAAGTCGATATGTGACATTTAACTAACTCGCTTTGGCATCATTGGTGCTA